CCCCCGACCTGCAGACTTACTCTGTACAAAAGCTGTATGCAGCGCTGAAGGAAGATATCTCTCAGGAAGGTCTTACCGTAGCCGCATCCTGGGTAATTGGTGAGTTTGGAGATGCCCTCCTCCATGGAGGCCAGTATGAAGAGGAGGAACTGGTGAAAGAGGTGAGGGAGAGTGATATTATCGATCTTTTCATGAACATCCTCAACAGCACATACGCTACGCCTATCGTGACAGAATACATTACTACGGCTGCCATGAAACATGGACTGACTTGCTGGCGAATTCGATACATATAAAACTATTTAGTAAATATTTACAGGAGAAGAAGAAAAGAAAGGAAGAAAAAGCAGCGAATTCAAGAGCAAGAGACGAAGACTTCTTGTCCTTATATGCGACATGCGATTTAAGAGTTAGGAAAAAAGCCATTGCCAGCCGATGGAAGGCAGCATTGAGCATGGATCTAGATATCTAAGACGCGGAGAGACACAGAGAGAGAGAGAGCGAGGCCTTGGAGGAGCCGGGGGAGACAGATACGATCGAGACTCTTATATCAGCCTGCTTTAAGACCGGGATGGCTGCAGATACGCATTGAGGACAGGGAAGACAAGAGAAACGAGAGAGAGACAGAGGGAGATGCAGGAGAAAGTCATTTATTAATGTAGAAACGAAACGTACATCAGGGCTATCGTTAGAGGGACGTGGTGGTAGTTAACATCGACCGGCATGCATGCAGACGCAAAGATGAAGGAAATATCAGAGGGAAAGAAAAGAGAGTGGAAAAGAGAGTGAAAAGGGGAGAGAGAGAGAGATAAATCATGGGGAGTTAAGGAGATACTCGATGGCTCCCTGGACGCTGCCTCCGGACCGTCTCAAGGCCTCGATGTTTCTGTCGAACTCGAAGAAGCCCATCTCGTTCAGCTGCCGTAGCTGCTCAGCGTACCGTTCCTCTGGAGGGCGGGTGTCCGGCGGCTGGGGAGGCTGCGTACCGACGAGGGCTTGTAGGGCGTTTGTCCCGCGCATTGCCTGCATGATTTCCGCGAAGACAGCTGGGTCGTTCGTGAAGGGGATCGGAGGCTGCTGGCCGGCTTGACCGTTAGGGTTTGGAGGCTGCGAGTTGAACAGGGAGGCAAACGGGTTTGGCTGCTGCTGCTGCTGCTGCTGCTGTGGTTGCTGGTTATTGTTATTGTTGTTGTTGTTGGATCCTGCTGCTGTACCTGGGGCGACTGGCGTAGGAGCTGGAGGTGGTGGCATGCCGGCCAGCAAAGATGCTAAGGGAAAGGGATTTCCCGCACCTGCAGCGGGCATGCCCGAGCCCATGGCCCATAAAGGGGTTAAACGGAGGAGGAGGAGGTTGCTGGGCCTGGTTGTTGGCGTTGTCTTGACCGCTGGCACCACGCTGGGTGGTGTTGGTGACTCCTGGAGCCGGGAAAGCAGACTGGCCTCCGCCGCCCTGGCCCATGGCTCTCTGCATCTGCGTCATGTACCGCAGCATGTTGGGGTCTGTCAGCATCCGCCGGAACTCTGGCGACTGCAGCATCTGGCGGGCGTTGGGCACATCCCGTAGCATCGGGTTCTGCTGTATCATCATGTCGATGATCTGGGGGTTCTGGAGGGCTTCGTTCATGGTCGACTGGAACTGCGGATTCTCCATCATGCTCAGGATCTGGTCGGTATCCGGCAGGGGGCCCATCTGGTCACTCAAGTTAGCATATCATGTCCTATCTTTTATATGTGTGTGTATATATCAAACTCACCCCTCCGTCAGGGCCAAACATGCCAGCTCCGGGAAGCTGAGAGAAGCCCGCGTATCTTGCACCTGTCAGCCCAGCCAGCACCGAGTTCCCCGTCCCCGTAGCCAGGTTGGTCGGCACGCCAGCAGCTCCAGACGGCGCACTCGGCGTGCTTCTGCCGGGGACATTGCTGCTGCTGGTGGTGGTGGTGTTGGTGGTGCCGCTGCTGCTGCTGGCGGGCGCAGAGCTCTTGACCAGATGGATGGTATGCCCTTCCTTGACCTTGTGCGAGGCGAGCGTATCACTGTCCTTGAGGACGCGCCCCGAGTAGATCAGCCGCTGGCGCTCAGCAGGGACATTTGCGTACTCTGCGCCGGTGAGGATCTGCTTGATCTCGGCGACGGTGGACGACGGCTTCAGCGTGAGGCTGTACTTGGGCTCTGCGGACGACTTGACGTGGAACGTAAACGGCGTGTCTTCCTCTGCCATTTTCTCTCTCTTCTCTCTCTTCTGTCTGTATCAGTGTCTTCTTCTTCTTCTTCTTCTTCAGCGTCTTCTTCTGGCTTCCTCTCAGGCTGTGGTTGTCCTGGCTGTAGCTATCGCGGTGTCTTGAGTCTCGCGGTGTCTCTGCCTTCAGTCTTCAGCTTTCTCTCTTCAGCTTCAGCTCAGTCTTCAGTCTCTTCTTCAGTCCTTTTCTTCTTCTCTCTTTATCTCCTTTATCCTCAGTCTTCTTCTTCTTCTTCTCTTCCTCCTCCTCGTCGTCTTTATCGCCTCGACGGTCCGACTCCGCCACCGAAGCCAAGTGTGGAACAGCGAAGAAACTTCCACAGAAACAAAAACTTCACCAAAAACTCCAACTTCAACGGCTTCAAACTACCAACTACACGCAACTGCAGCTACCACAGCTAGATAGCTACGACAGCTACAGCTAAGCTACAGCTACGCTCGGCTAGGCTACAGCTTTGTCGGGACAGGCAAGAGATGGAAGCGAGCTGACGCGCTGTCCCAGCAGCTCACAGCAACCATGGCGACCACCTCGTCCATGTTCATGTACTCGCTCACCATCCAGCCGCCCACAGCCATCACGCAAGCCATCCTGGGCCAGTTCTCGGGCACGAAGGAGCAGCAGATCGTCACCGCGGCCGGCGCGAAGCTCGCCATCCACCGCACCGAGCCGTCGCAGGGCAAAGTGCAGACGCTCTTCTCGCAGGATGTCTTTGGCATCATCCGCTCGCTCGCCGCGTTCAGGCTCGCCGGCAGCAACAAAGGTATCCTCTTGCTCCTCGTCTTCCTGCTACTATTCCCCCCCTATTCAAGGCCAGTTAGTGATGTTTTATCTTAAGAAGCTCCCGCGTAGTCTCAATGGCGGCCTTTCTTGTTGATTCCATTCCGTGGGTGTTGTCTCGGGTGGTGTTGTTGTGTTGTTGTATGCGTTGCTGAGTGTTGACAGACTACATCATTATCGGCTCGGACTCGGGGAGAATCACCATTGTCGAGTATGTCCCGGCTCAGAACCGGTTCAATCGCATCCATCTCGAGACCTTTGGCAAGTCCGGCATCAGACGCGTCGTGCCGGGCCAGTATCTCGCTGTCGACCCCAAGGGCAGAGCCTGTCTAATCGCCTCGGTCGAGAAGAACAAGCTCGTCTACGTTCTCAACCGCAATGCGCAGGCTGAGCTCACCATATCCTCTCCGCTGGAGGCCCACAGGCCGCAGACGGTCGTCTTTGCCCTTACCGCGCTAGATGTGGGCTATGAGAACCCCATCTTCGCTGCCCTCGAGGTCGAGTACACCGAGGTCGACCAGGACCCCACGGGCCAGGCGTACGACGACACCGAAAAGATGCTCGTCTACTACGAACTCGACCTTGGTCTGAACCACGTCGTCAGACGGTGGGCTGATCCGGTCGACCGTACTGCCTCCATGCTCTTCCAGGTGCCCGGAGGTGCTGACGGTCCCAGCGGCGTCCTCGTCTGCGCGGAGGACAACATCGTCTACCGTCACTCGAACCAGGACGCCTTTAGGGTTCCCATCCCCCGCAGACGTGGGCCTACCGAAAACCCAGAGAGGAAACGATGCATCACCGCCGGAGTCATGCACAAGATGCGCGGTGCTTTCTTTTTCCTTCTACAGTCTGAAGACGGCGACCTTTTCAAGGTTACCATGGAAATGGTAGAAGACGAGAATGAAAATGCTACCGGAGAAGTGAAGAGACTGAAGCTCAAGTACTTTGATACTGTTCCCTTGGCTTCTAGCTTGTGTATTCTCAAGAGCGGTTTCTTGTTTGTTGCTAGTGAAACCGGCAACCAACACTTCTATCAGTTTGAAAAGCTAGGAGACGATGACGACGAGATCGAGTTCATCAGTGATGACTACTCGGCTGTCATCTCAGAGCCCTTGCCTCCAGTATATTTCCGGCCTCGACCTGCCGAAAACTTGAACCTGGTAGAGAGCATCGCCTCGTTAAACCCACTCATGGCTGCTTCAGTTACAAACGTCACAGAAGAGGATGCTCCTCAAATATACACGCTGTGTGGCACCGGTGCCAGAAGTAGCTTCAGAACGCTAAAACACGGCCTCGAAGTATCTGAGATCGTCGAGTCTGAGCTGCCCAGTGTCCCGTCGGCCGTCTGGACCACAAAGCTGTCTCGGAATGACCAGTATGATGCATACATTGTGCTATCCTTCTCAAACGGCACCCTTGTCCTAAGCATCGGTGAAACCGTAGAAGAAGTCACAGATACCGGCTTTCTCTCGTCCGCTCCCACTCTTGCCGTGCAGCAACTGGGTGAAGACTCGCTCATCCAAGTTCATCCAAAGGGTATCAGACATATCCATGCAGACCAAAGAGTGAACGAGTGGCCCGCTCCCCAACATAGATCTATTGTTGCCGCCACCACAAATGAGAGACAGGTGGCCATCGCACTCAGCTCCGGAGAAATCGTCTACTTTGAGATGGACACCGATGGCTCACTCGCTGAATACGACGAGAAGAGGCAAATGTCCGGCACAGTAACCTGCCTCAGCTTGGGAGAGGTTCCGAAGGACGAGTAAGAAGCTCGTTCCTCGCTGTTGGATGCGACAGACTCAACGTTCGGATCCTAAGTCTGGATCCTGATTCCACGCTTGAGAACAAATCCGTCCAGCGTTGACTTCTGCCCCGTCTGCCCTATCCATCATGTCCATGATCGATTCACTCTGCGGGTCGACGTTATACTTCACATCGGTCTTTACTCCGGAATCTACTTGCGTACAGTCCTAGACGAAGTTACCGGAGAACTATCGGACACTCGAACCCGATTCCTCGGCGTCAAGCCAGTGAAGCTATTCAGTGTCTCCGTCAAGGAGCAGAGAGCAGTCCTTGCCCTTAGCTCCCGCTCTTGGCTTGGGTATTCTGATCTCCAGACAAAGAGCTTCACCCTCACACCCTTGAACTACGTCGGGTTAGAATGGAGCTGGAACTTCTCCTCTGAACAGTGTGTAGAGGGTATGGTCGGCATTCAGGGCCAGAACCTACGGTACGTCTTAACCACTTCTGTCCATTTCTATTTTTTTCAATATTCGTTTGCGTGATGAGACCCAATTCCTATCGCCTACACTGGCATGAGGATGAAACTTTATATTTTCCAATTGTTCCTACTGAGCAAGCCTTCCTCTTATTATCTCTGTATCCTTCCATTCAGTTATGGGTCCAGTCACTAATGCATTTGACAGAATATTTTCCATTGAGAAACTGGACAATAACCTCCTTCAAGAGCCCATTCCTCTTGCATACACTCCTCGGAACTTTGTCCGACACCCCGAGTACCCTCTTTTCTATGTCATTGGATCCGATAACAATGTTCTTTCCCCCTCTACCAAAGCCAAACTACTCGGTGAATCAACCGCAGTCAACGGCGACAGTGCCGAGTTACCTCCAGAGGACTTTGGCTATCCAAGAGGCACAAACCACTGGGCCTCATGCATTGAAGTCGTGGACCCAATAAATACCAAGTCTGTGCTTTCCAAGCTGGAACTCGAGGACAACGAAGCCGCTGTAAGCATTGCCGCCGTCTCATTCACCAGTCAAGAGGACGAAACCTTCCTGGTTGTGGGAACGGGCAAGGACATGGTTGTCAGTCCACGCACTTATACATGTGGATTCATTCATATCTACCGATTCCAAGAGGAAGGTAAAGAGCTGGAATTCATCCACAAGACAAAAGTTGAACAACCGCCGCTAGCTCTACTTGGATTCCAAGGCCGTCTCCTTGCAGGAGTTGGCCCCGATCTAAGGATATACGACCTCGGAATGAGACAGCTACTGCGAAAATGCCAGGCTCAGATAACACCACGCGTGATTGTCGGACTTCAGACCCAGGGAAGCCGAATCATCGTCAGCGATGTCCAGGAGAGCGTCACGTACGTCGTTTACAAGTACCAAGAAAACGCCCTTATCCCCTTTGCAGACGACATTATATCCCGCTGGACCACCTGCACCACAATGGTGGACTATGAGACCGTTGCTGGCGGCGACAAGTTCGGTAACATATGGCTCCTACGATGTCCTACCAAGGCATCCGAAGAAGCCGACGAAGACGGCTCTGGCGCCCATCTCATTCACGAACGACAGTATCTCCAGGGCGCACCTAACAGGCTCAGCCTGGTAGTTCATTTCTACTCCCAAGATATACCCACAAGCATCCAAAAGACCCAACTCGTTGCCGGTGGTCGAGACATCCTGGTCTGGACCGGCCTCCAGGGAACAGTTGGAATGTTCGTGCCCTTCATCACCCGTGACGATGTCGATTTCTTCCAAACCCTTGAGATGCAACTTGCTTCACAGAACGCTCCGTTGGCCGGGCGAGACCATCTTATCTACAGAGGCTACTATGCTCCGTGCAAGGGCGTCATTGACGGAGACCTCTGTGAGACGTTCTTGCTTCTGCCCAATGATAAGAAGCAAGCTATTGCAGGCGAGCTCGATCGATCAGTTCGAGAAATCGAGCGTAAGATATCGGTACGTACCATCCTTCTCTCTCAACGACTATTGACCAATATCTAACATTCATTTTACAGGATATGAGGACAAAAGTAGCCTATTAACTTCCCACCAGTGGCTACAACGTTAATGAATCAAAATCTTGTTGGCGTCGGTCTTGGGTACATGGTGCAAAGGGATGTACATTGCCTTCATCTTCATCAGCTTAAATCACAGCTTCAACAAAATATAAATACATTTAATACTCGTGGATGATACAGGCATCCATCCATCATCTAGTCACTACCAAATGCTCCATACGAACCCGTCTCTTGCCTCGCTCGGTCAGTGCGCACTTTCAATCGTCTGACCTTGAGCTGGATGCATCCGTCTTTCGTCTTAGTGATGTAGATGATTTGTATGAGACTAGAGGAAACCACCTAGCCGGTGATCTTTGAGTACGATCCTTTCCGACTTCTTTTCACGGAATTAGGCATCGTAATTTATCCGTCGGTACATCTTACATACTGTAGCTATCTAATTATTTCATGACTATCATCTAGAATCAATCCATATTCGTCTGTTTTAGTATCATTTTCTACTTCGGCTAATGCTCGGGATTATAAAACTGAGCATCAAGCGGGGAGCCCGGTTACGAGCGTATCAACTATCTGCCATAACAACCATCCATTCACTTGCATATACTACGTCTAGAACAAGCACCATCAACCATTAGCCATAGCCCAAGTAACTGGGTATAAACATGTCACAAAAGCTCAATGTTGCTATCGCGCAGTGTCGCACCCGCGATACTCTAGCCGAGACACTCAACGCTCTCGAACAAGTCACCATCAGAGCAGCAAACCGCTCAGCCAACGTGCTTCTCTTCCCAGAGGGATATCTAGGCGGATATCCTCGAGGCTGCAACTTCGGAGCTGCAATTGGATCTCGCAACGATACAGGACGAGATCAATATCTAGAATACTTCAAAGCCGCAGTTGATTTCGGAGATACCCCCGTTCCAAGCGGAGATGACTGGGTGGAAAGGAAGCTGCCTGTTGCTGAAGGGAAGAATTATAGAGGAGACGGAACTCGAGAGTTCCTTGAGCGAGTGGCTAGAGAGAATGGCATGTTGCTTGTCGTAGGGGCTATTGAAAGGTGTGCTGGGAGTTTATACTGCGCGGTTGTCTACGTTGATCCGAAGAAGGGCATGATTGGGAAGCGAAGAAAGGTCATGCCGGTAAGTATATATTATATCTTAGTGTTCACCCAGTGGCTTCAAGATGGAGAGAAAGTTCTAATTGATGATACAGACTGGAACGGAACGGCTAGTGTGGGCTCAAGGGCCAGCATCAACTTTGAAAGCCGTCACTACGGAAATCAATGGCGTGAAACTTGCTCTTGCAGCAGCCATATGCTGGGAGAACTACATGCCCCTGCTTCGACAGGCTATTTACCAGCAGAATGTCAATCTCTACCTCGCTCCTACGGCTGATGGACGAGATACCTGGCTTCCCCTAATGCAAACCATTGCTCTGGAGGGCCGTAACGTGGTCCTCAGCGTCAACCAGTGTTTGAAACGCAGCCATTTGCCTTCCTGGGTCACGAATGATGTCAAACGGGAAAGTCAGGACGGCTCAGATGATCCTTTCGTCACAGGAGGAGGGGGTTGTATTATCAGTCCTGCTGGAAAGGTGCTGGCGGGTCCGATCTGGAATGTTACTGATGAAGATGACGAGAGCCTGCAGGTAGTTGAGGTCGATTTTGATGATTGCGTGAGAGGAAGGCTGGAGTTGGATGTTGCTGGTAGTTACTCACGCAATGATTCATTCGAATTGACGGTTGAAGGGTTGGACTTGAATCCTCCGCCGCAGTAAACTGACAGCTTACACTATTCATAGAATTGATGATTATTTCCATTCTATATGCAATGCTATTCTTTTTAGTATCTATCCTTTTGAAACCTGGTAACCAAACGTAAACGCCAAAGTGGTATTTTGCCCGTGAAAAGCAATAAAATGCATTCACCAACAGAAAAATCAAATAAGCCTGCGGGAAAGGCTGCTGCCACCTCGAAATCCAAAGTATGTCCAGCATTACGCAAGCATATCATCCAACTTCTCTCCCAGAATATCTTCGATCATTAGCACCCATTTCCTGACCTCTCTTTCAACATTTTCGTCATCATCCTCCATCAATTCGCTGATGAATGGCAGCATCTCAGGCAGCAAGGCAAGCCACTCTTCCCCTAGCTCTTCAGTGAGGCTTTGTTCACATTTCACAGCCGCAAGTCGCGTAAGCGAATTGGCGCCTCTGCAGGAATCTGCATTGCCGCCACTGGCGCGCATATATTTCATAATATATGTGTTCAGCTCCTTTTGATTATCGGGGGAGTCTGCTGCAATCGCAAGGGCGACAATAGTTGGAGTTGCTTCGGCTGTGGCTAGTTTGAAGGAGGATTTGCTAGTAGCTATGGATAGCTGATTGATAAGGTGACTGGAAATTGATCCGAGGTGACTGGGGGATTGCCAGAATTCTGTCAAACACTAGTTAGTGTAAAGTTCCTCATTATTTGACCCAATACAACAAGTTTAGGGAACATACCGTCCTGATCATGCTCAAATGAGCTTCGAAGTGTTCGCATAACGGCTGTCCATAATGCCTGGTTTTCCTTTGTGTTTGGCCGCACATTTTTCAGAATGTCGACAACGTTGTCAAGGATATAGCTAGAATAACCAGTTACAATAGACTGTGAATAATCCTGATTAGTAAAGCAACATAATATATTGTATCATACAACAGAGGACAAACCTTCAAGGTGCCAAAGAAAGTCTCGAGGAACTTGTAGAATGTCGTAAGTCTTGCTTGTCTGCCGGAGAAATCCGATTTGTCTAATTCCTCCGTAGCCCACTCTGTGAGTTTCATGAAGAGCGGGCGGAATATGGTATCGTTCAGTTTATATATCATCTTAATCGTTAGGTCATTGATGCAAGCCTCGATGTCATCAATCTGGTATTCCTCAAATCTATCACCAGCAGGTGAGCTGAGCTGAGCTCTTCGGAAATCGAATAATTTCCACAGAAGCTTCGAGATTGCGGGAACATTATTGATAGTATCAGACTTGGGATGTTTCTCAATTGATAACTTAACAATTTCGAGAGTTTCTTTGGCGGCCTACAGATAATTAGCTTCATGGATATTCTCAGGGAACATGTCAATTCTTACCTTCGAGCCCCTTGAGACTGTGAAGTCCCAGTTGCGCTCCACTGCATTATAAACCTCCTTTGCATCAACCCGTTTCGCCAATAGCTGAAGTGCCTCTTGTCGATTACCATCAGAATCTTCAGATAAGCTGGCGTGGGCTGAACTTGAGGAGAGCTGTAGAATTCTGTCCAAATCCTCTGGTGAGATCATGTAAGGAATATGAACCAGTAGTGCAGAGAGTAGCGAATAAACGGCATCGTGCAACTCCGAGTTTTGTTCCCCATCCTGAATACTGCTTTGTAACAGATCCAAGGAGCGAGGGAGGGCGGTAGGAAGAACAGGTATTATGGCATCCGCAATGACCTCCGTCATGGATGCAAGGCACAATGAGCCCATGATACGGATGCGATTGTCTGTTAGCCCCATGCACTTCTCGCCAGCAACCACAATTGCAGCTTCGACAACCTTGTCTGGATTCTTCTTGCCGTACTTTTCTGAAATCTTCTCCATACAGGCAACGGCCGCATGTTTCAACAGTATATCGGGAGAAGTTTCGACAATACCCACAAGAACAGACAGGAAAGAGAGAGCCTTTGATTGGGATGCTGTATCTCTGTCATTGCTATTGTCCAGACGATTCTCAAGTAGTCGAAGGACTTGTCTGCGCAGGTCATCCTTCGGCCTCTGCAGTAGTACCTCGATAGTGTCAATAAAATCAACAATGGAGAGTGTGCCTAGCAAGGTAGCGAGGGCATCGCCACAGGCGATGTTGATGGCCTTGATGGAACGAACGGATTCACCCAAGGCTAGAAGACGCTCTAGCATACTAGAGAATAAGTTGTGAACCTTTTTGGCATCTTCTGTATCGTCTGACTCGAAGTACTGAACCATCTTATTGCCAAGAGAAGTGAACTTGAGCAGATGGGATAATGTCTGAAGCAAATCAACAGCAACCTTGTGGGGTTCTCTTCCATCTTCACTTCCAATTCCAAGAAGAACGCGTGAGAGCGTTGGCTTTGGCTGAAGTGCGTCCTGGACTAGGCTCAAGTACCGGGCATACGTCTAAAGAGCATTAGTAAATATGCAATTATTACGTGGCTGATATCATCCAGACTTACAGTGAGCTGAAGTTGAGCCTCTGCATTCGATGCAAGCGCAGTCATAGTGACTAGAACATCCCGATCCATGCCATACTTGGTTGCCAGCATAGCCAAAACAGCAAAGAGGAAGTCCTCCTGGCCAAGTTTGTTCACTAGTGATTCAAAGAGCCTGAGACGGCGATATGAGGGAATATGCTCGTATGCAGTGGTGAAAGACAACAGTAGCTCGGACGTTCCTGTAACCACATCCCTCTTTTGAACTCGGAGGGAACGGACAAGAGGAGGAATGACTTGGTCAATGGTCTAAAGGAGCAATAGTCAGTACTCCAAAGTCTATAAAAACATGTCAATGAATACCTACTTGGTCAATAACAAGGGCTGAGTATTCGTCATCTTTTCGGAGGACGCTTGAGCCCATAAAGGTAAAGATGGGCATGACGCTGTGTAGAACAATTTCAGGAGCCACTGTCGCCAGGGCTGCAACAAGAAGGAGAGCAGTGTTCTGAACTTGTTGGCTCTCAGATGTACGAACACAGTCGATAATAAGGTCAGCTCTGATGACAGAGGTATCGAGTTTCTTTGGTGATCCCTGTAATTTTGTTAACGGACGGACATGCAAGAAAGTATATACGGGATACCAACCTTGTATTTATTGACAATGGATAGCAGTATACCAAGGTTGAGGCTGAGAAGGTAGCTCATTTCCGACCGAACTTGAAGCTTTAATTTATGAACAATGGCAAGAGTTTGGAATAGACCACCAAGCAGTTCGGGGAATCGCTCAGGCTGGGAAGAGTCAATCAGCTCAAGAATAAATGAAACTCTCCGAAGAGGAACGTTTGCTTCTTCCCTGCTGGCTGGGTTCATGGCGGCCAAGTTGCTCTGGCTCATTCTTCGTCTCTTTGGTGCAGGTGATTGAGATTCAATATTGAAAGAAGCCGAAGTTACGGTGCCGAGAAATTTGGAAATAACCGGTCCCGATAAGTCCACAGACCGTAAGAGTTCTTTGCTAGAATCGGCTAGGTCCTCGGCTTGGGGCTTAGTAGAAAGACACATATCCAGCAAAGTCTCTGATGCAAAAAGCTCTTTCTCCTCATCTAAGAATGGCCAGGTATCTTTCATACGGCCAAAAATAGCTCCAATGAACGAAGGTCTCGTGGAGCGAGGGCTGTCCTTCAATAATGATAGAAGGGTAGATATGGTAGTTGGATCTTTTGGATAGATGATGGAGAGGGCTTGTTGCTCTATCTCCTGTATTGAAACGTGTTCTTGAGTATTGATACGATTTATTTTCTCCGAATCAATTGCTCTGCATTGCTCGAGCATGGGCGACAAGAATTGAGTACGGGGAGTAGACCCAATTTTGCTGACTCTGTTGACAATAGACAGGAGTCTGAGCTTTGTAGCAAAGAGCGGCGTATTGATGATATGTGAGCAAATGAAGGAGAAGAAATCCCGGCGAGCTGATTTCTTCAGCTCTGATCCACCATCTGAAGTTCCTTTAATGGTCTGCATAAATGTTTCGGAGACCCGAGAGTAATCGAGGATGCACTCCTCTAAACCAGGCAGAAACCCTTTATCGATGACGGCATGAAGATCTTTTCCAGGTAGCCACTGTACAGCTTTTGACTGTTCGTTGTCACCATATATGATACCTTGGCCCCAAGGCGCATCCTCAATGTCAGGGGAAAAATATTGGTTATCGATGGAAGTCAGGAGTGCAGCCGCTTCTCTTCTGACTAGTATTGACGGGTCAGAGAGGGCAGATATCGAATATGGAATCAATGCCTGTAGGTCAACAGCTTTGCCATTTGACTCAAGAACGGATGTTGTAGTTATATTGATGGCCTTGGTACGAGCCAGAGGTGGGTGAGGGCCGGAAAAATACCGCACAAGAAAAGAGAAATAAGTCGGGTCCTTGAATCTGGTATCTCTGCGAAGGATTGGTAGATTGAGGAATGCCCCCAGTTTATTCGCGGATGTCGTTGCTTGGGTGAAACAAACAACCAGCTCGCTAAAGAGAGGCGAAGGGGACTCGACGAGGAAATTTTCTGGTTTTTGGCTCCGCCGCTGGGATAGAGATGTAATTGCGGCTGCAAACTCCTCATCTTGGGCGTTGCTCTCAGGGCCATCCTCCATTTCAACGTCTTCTATTTCTGCAGGCCCCACGTTGTTATCAATGGCGAGCTGAAGAGTCATTTCCAAGGCTTTGATATCGATGTTGGATTCAGCGATTGCTTTCTGAAGTACAGGGTCAAGTTCCCTGGACTCGACAAACGTTGCAAGCGTATCCGATGCAAGCTGGCGTACTTCCTCCGACATGCAACCCTTACCATGGGATTTCTCAATAGTCTTTAGGAGTGCTATTATCACCTGCTTTTTGTCCTCCGTGCCCATTGAATCCCTCTGGAGCACCTGGCCAACAAGAGATACAGACTTAGCTGCAATTTCCCCATTATCAAGTTCTAGGAGTACATTTGCCAGGCCAGAGAGCAGACGGACTATTGAATTAGTTGTTGCGAGACCTGAAAATACATCAGCCGCATCCTCCAGCCGAAGAATTGACTTGACCACAGGTTTTGGAAGCTGTAGTTGTTCCTTTTGTCGAAAGATCACTGCGAGACATGTGATTCCTGAAGTTATGGTGTCCCGGGTCCAAGATCCTGCCACAGCCTCCATCAAGCTATCGATAGCACTGTCACTTAGAGAGCCCTTGTTGGCCAAGACAACACACAGCATGTAGCAAGCAATAACAAGCTGCGGTGCCTTTTTCAATGACAGACCGGTGCTAAGCGTTGGTAAAATACTAATTAAAACATCTTCCTTATTTCGGCGTTCGACTTCTGTTCTCCCTGATTGCGCGGAGTCAAACATTGTGGAGAGAGCCTCCGTCATAATACCGGCCCAGAAAGAAATCAGGCCTTGATAATGCGCTCTAGCTTTGCTGACCTGCATAACATGGCTATTCAAGGCAGAGAAAAACTCTTTATTCGTTGAGGCACTGTGTACAATGGAGGTTCGTGTAGGCAGAATCAAGCTTCGCTTATATGGATGTAGAATCTTGAAGGTGGTCGTCAGGTTATCCGGCAAGATGGACAGAAGATTGAGGAATAAGGGCGTCGTATGGTAAGGCAGAAACGTAAGAATCATGGCACGAGTATTGTGTTCATGTACGCTGCATAAAATGATAGTTTAGTTAGCGTATGGTTGGGTCTAGTTGCTGGATGGGAGTTTGACATACCGAAATCGACGAACAAGCCAGTCCACAGCCTTCACGGCCGGGTTGAGAAGAAGTCGACCACCAGCCAACGCCAGGAAGTCTTCTATGACAACATCTAGTTCCTTATTTTGCGCGGCTGTCATCTGGCTTCTGTCTTCGACTTTGCTCTGTTCACTGAAAAGATTTTGGCGGAAGGGCTGAAATCGAGGGTCGAGAGCGCATAATTCCTGGAACCCTTCATAGTACAACTGGTAAATCGTATCAAAATCCTGTGTACTAGCAACCTTCTTTTCAAATATCAGCGATTGGGCGTGAGCTGATCTCTGGGCTTTCAGGTCGAACTGATGGGTTGCTTTGGCCGCAACTTGCGACAGCTGCGCGGCGAGAGACGACGCCATGATGCAGGGGAAAGGCTGGATGGTATAAGTCGACGAGGGTATCTAATTCATAATAGCAGCTATCCTCCCGTCCGCCAGGCCCAAGAGAGCTCTTCTTGCGCGCAGGTTGCAAGCTGTTTCTTCCTCGTCCTCGAAATCTTCCAAATCTCGAAGAAAAAAGCATAAAAATCTCTGACTGCAAAAAGAAGTTTTTCCCGAGGCTCCAGCCGCCATGCGAGGGCAAGTCTAGCCGGCGTCTATCAAGGCGCTTCAACCTTTGACGCGATCAATCAATCGATCGATCAATCAACGAATCACTCGGTTAATTAAACTAATGGGATAAGCTGCGAAAGGGCAATCGTCAAACTACGGATGCGCTGTTAGCAAGAGAACAGCTATGGACTCTGAAGGGGGGAAGGTAAGTGGCAGTTCCTCTTAGTCAACTAGGCTGTAACTGACTGACTTGTTTCCTTGCTATTACTTAGGCAAAGGCGCAGATTCCAAAATTTGGCAGCTTCAAGCCACAGCCAGCAACCCCTGCGCGAGACCATGAGAGCAAAGATGAGAAGAAATCCTCAAGAGAGCCCTCGAATGGTCGTCCCGGAGCCAGAGAGTCAGCCGGTTCATCAAAACATGGACGTCGGAGGGAGGACAGCCGGGAGACGGGAAGTCGTTCCAGTAGAGCTGCACGCGAGCAAACCGCGGACAGGTTGAAACCTCAGCGCGCACAGGATGAACCGGATCTCTACGTGCTCGATCCTACAGGTGATCCATATACCTTGATCTATGGGTCTCTCCATAAGTACGATATTCCCCGATACTATCGTTTTGGCGCAGGTAGAGTTCTAGGTCTATCCACGGCTTACACCATCGATCAAGACCTTAGCAGCGATACAAAGATAGTGATGAAGCTAAGAGGGTCCGCAGAAGACACAGCACAACGCAATCACAAGGCACTCTGGAAATCGGCTTCTAAGCCGGCAAAACTTCGGCGCCTACTACCTCGTCAAGATGATACTCAAGACCTGGAGCGGGATTTCCTTCCCTTGAATGAAGGCGAGAGCAGGAAAAGGCGGCGCATAGCAGATGGGTACTACGACACCGCTTACGCAGTAACAATAACGGAAGAGGAGAAGCTCCCTGACTACAGATCGATTGAAGGGAAGGCGAAGCCCGAACGCTCCTCTGATGGTGAGACTGATATGGGATCGGACTGGAGTCTAGAATCGGACGGCGAAGGTGCTAGACTACGGAATACCGCTCTATTCTCGAGTGCAAATGATAATCCAGACGACGTGGAGGGCTGGCTTCGGCTTATCAGCCATCAAGACAAGCTGGTCGGTTCCACAGATGGAGAGGGCTATCGAAAGCATACCTCAGCCGAAAAAAGAGGCATCGCTGACATGAAGGTATCCTTGTATGAGAAAGCTTTAAAGAGTATTTCTCCCAATGTCCCGAGGGATAGGCTTCTGCTTGGAATGATGGAAGAGGGCTCTTTGGTTTGGGACCAAAAGACTCTGTTAGACAAATGGAAGTCTATTTTACAGTTCAACTCGCACTACATCACACTCTGGATGAAGTACTTGGATGTCCAGCAAACCACGTTTACCAATTTCACCTATGAGAAATGTCGATCGGTATTCTTGGAGTGCTTAAAAGTCAACGAGCGCCAGCCAGATAGTACTGAAAAAAAGACCATCAGCCTTTATATCCTCCTGCGTCTTAGCCTGTTTATGAGAGAATCCGGCTTTATCGAGCACTCAATTGGTCTTTGGCAAGCCCTGCTCGAATACAACTTTTGCTGCCCGCAAGACCTTGCCCAAACAACCAATCAAGAAACTACCATTTCTGCCTTTTCTGAGTTTTGGGAGACAGAGGCTCCAAGGATCGGTGAATTGGGGTCAAAAGGCTGGGACAAGTCTGGTGAAGACTCGCCCGACCCGAAAACAGGCCCTAACGTGCCAAATATCGATATCAGAGATGTCTTTGGCACTTGGGGGAATGCCGAACAAACCCTGATGTCCTCTTCATTCTTACCCGCTAGAACATTAGATGAAGTGCAAGAAGACGACCCTTACCGAGTAGTCCTATTTTCTGATATATCCGACTTCCTTGTTCGATTATCAGATCCGCCCATAATACCTTTACTTATTGATGCTTTTCTCACATTTTGTCAGCTGCCGAGAATATCAAACGAAAATAGCGAAAGGACATCTAGTTGGCATATGGACCCTTTTCTGTTGAACCAGCATCTAGATGACATGCGCAAATCCCCATCAGAATGGTTCGCCTATATCGCTGAAAAAGAAGAGGTAGACGGACGTTCACTGTTTTCATTCCCTTGTCCGTCCTTCAGGAATGGCTTTGATACTCTGTTTGGCGATGGGCGGAACTGGTTCTCAGCGTTTCAGTCGTGGAAAGCCACCTACCTCGAGAAAAATAGCTTGATTGATGTCGATTGGATTCGGAGGTCCCTAAAGATGTTGGTATCAAAAACGCCGAACAATGACTACCTAGCATCCTACAATATTGCCTTTGAGTACAGTATCGATTCCAAGGAGGCAAAGAAGTATGCAAAGAGCCTTTTGAAGCAGCGACCTTCGAGTATCATGCTATACAACTCCTATGCTATGATTGAGGCAAGGAACGGTCAAATTGCGGCCGCCGAAAAAGTCTGGATAACCACTCTTTCTATGAGCCAAAACTTCTCTAAGGAGGCAACACTAGGTTGCATTCTTCTTTGGCATAGCTGGATCTGGGAAGCTCTTAATAGCCGTGACTATAGAAAGGTAAACCGTTTACTGATGTCAACTCCAAGTAATACGTTCAGTCTGGATCCTTCTCCGGAAGTTGCAGCTGGTGATATTGTAGTCAGTGCAACAGAGCTCCTAAAAGCGAAGAGAGTATGTTATTCTTTTCCTTCCTCCTGGCTGCCTGCTCGAATAATATTAACACTTTCATAGTATCTAGGCGATATCCAAGCTCATGGGCTCACATTTCGCAAGCCTGGAATCTTTCTTTATGCTACTGACTGCCTAGCTGTTTTGCATTATCTTACGCATGACCAATCACTCTCAGGAGCCATTGAAGTGTATGATAATGCAGGACAACGCCTTGAAGCCCAGAAACTGGATAATGCAACCTTCCAGGAACCCATACATCAGGCAAAAGCCAGGCTGCTATGTCACCACATGACCGAAAACCGCGTCTATAAACCTGCACAGGTTCGCGACGATCTGTACAAGAGCATCATACTCTTCCCCCAAAACACAATCTTCTTAAGCTTATTCGCGTTTAATGAGGCTCGATTTCGAGTCGAAAACCGTGTTCGCTCACTTCTCACCCGCCAAATACTTGAGCCAGTCGGGAATGATGCCTCATCCACTGAGAAACGATCAACCATCATTCCTCACCTATTTTTAGTATACTCTGAGCTTCACAGGGGCGTCTCTGCCGGATCAACTGCTCATTCTGTTCGTGCTGCCTTTGAGTCCGCGGTGTCTTCGCAGCCAGGCCAGCACAGTGCTGGGCTATGGAAGCTGTTCGTTCAATTCGAGCTGGCACTTGGCGAGAGCGGAAAGAGCCGTCAAGTGTTTTTCCGCTCAATCAGAGCGTGCCCTTGGTCCAAGCAATTGATTCTTCAGGCGTTCACCGAGCCACGTCTTAGGAAGTCGATGGGCTTTGAAGAGCTGAGGAAGGTCTTCAATGTGTTTGTAGAGAAAGAGCTGAGGGTTCACGTTGACCTGGAGGAATGGCTTGAAGAGAACGAAGCAGAGATCAGGCCAGATGAGAGTGATATCGGTCAAAGACCTCCAATTATCATGCCTGACGATAGAAGCTCAGACGAAGATTAAATAACTCTATGGTTTATCATTTCAAAGCTTGCAATGTACGATATATATATGGAAACGCCCATCCAACAATCTACTATCTAAACATAAACAAGATAGGCCACTCACTAATTATCCAAAGACCTCAACGCCTGGTCCATGGTAGGTGGAACAAACCCTCTAGCCTCTCTTCTCTCCTTCACCCATGATCCCAGCTCGGCCCAAATAGCCTCCTTCTCAGCCTGTTTCATTGATGCTGCCAGCCCGCTGGTGGTCGTAGCTACAAACACCCTAGCACCAGGCCACGCATCTTGAGAGTTGCCCCCAAGCACAGGCCTAACACGCCCCATATTCTCCTCCTCATCCTGCCATCCATACTTGAACTCCTCCTTTTTGATATTCCTCCCATGCTTCACTCGCCAGACAGCCTCCCAGATGCCCTTTCCAACCAGGCAGACAGCCTCAGGCCGGAACCGTCCAATCTTCTCTTCTAGAACGGGCACGCCGGCATTCATCTCCTCCTTTGATAGCTGGCTTGCATCGCGCGTAGGACGCACCACGATGTTCGTGTTACCGATACAGTAGAGCTCCGGCATGCGGTATGTATCCGATGGCGGATGGCGGAAGGTAGTTATCCCTGAAGAGTGTAGAAGCCGCCAGTACAAGTTCGACGGATGAGCATATGCGTAGCCCGTCTGGCCAGTCATGATGCCCGGGTTGACGCCGATGAGCAGCAGGACGAGGTTCTCAGGTATAGAGTCTCTAAGACGAGAGACAGCAGCTCCTTTAGATGGTGATGCAGCATCTTCCTCTGTCTTTATGGGAGTCGAGCTGCCGCTGGCTTTCCTTGCTGTCCGTGGAGGAGCTGATCGGGTACTTTGCCTGGACGGTCCGGATAGCGGTACCAGGGTCGACTGCGTTAGGGACTTGAATGAGCGAGTCCTTCGGGGTGATATAGGCGCTGGCAGGAATTTCTTTTCATCTTCTGCGTCTTCGTCTTCCTCCTTGATGCCAATTTTGCGTTTCAGCGACTTGACCGGCGATGCATTGGGAGAATGGATGAATTTGTCCAGGCTGCCGTTGAATGACCGGGGAACGTCTTCGTCGTCCATTTTTTGTCTATCAATGGTAATAATAAGGATAAAGATTTATTATTTATCGAAGCTGCGAGCTAGCAAACAGCAGCTCTCTGCCGGCTTTTATGGATTTGCTGCAAGATGAGGCTCAAAATTGGTGGTGGTATTTGGTTGAATACGAGCTTGCCCAGCGCATCGCGCAGGCAGCAGCCAGCCAAACAGCGGTGGAATGTCGATCGGACAAGAACTTGGAATAGAGAAGAAATGAAAAGATCAGTTCGGCAGTTGGCAAGTGAATTTAAGCATGAATTTCTGACAGGTAACCGGATGGTTAACGGTTCAGTCCAGAGTTCGGCAATGGCGAAAAAAAAGTATGAGGTTAGTTATTCAAAAGTATAAGCTGACTGTTTATTGAAGGGACAAATGTGAAGAAGATTCGTTAATTCATTAGATCGCTAAAAGATGCATCGACAAGATCTCGCTTTTAATATACATTAAGAGTGTGTGCGCATGGCATGCATGAACTGACCGTTGAGTTGGGCCGAAGTCTTCCAACAGCTGGCCTGTATTAAACTGGGTAGCAATGGAAGTATTATGTGCTGGGTGGCAATGCCTGGGGAGGGTTGGGGGAAAATATGTACAGGTACGTTCTAAGGGTGAATGATGTTTGGTCGGTATAAAGCTGTTATACCTTTGATTCTATCGGTATTGGTCTTCGTCGTGGTAGCGTCCATGGCTCGGGACATACAGTCTATATCAAAGCTGTTAGTTTCGTGGCTAATCTCGCAACCTGATGAGCTTTAACGTACCTCTCCTTCGCTGTACCCCCAAAAGTACACAGCCATGCCAATAAGATAGTATATGGCAGGGTTTGTTCCTTGATATAGTAACACCGAAGCAAGTGCACTGAGAGGGAGGATGACGAGCCTGATTTCGATGCTGCGGTGGAACAGGGTCCCCGCCAACGGCTTCAGTGGCCACTCCCAGGCCAGCGCTAGCAGTCCTAGCAGGACATTGAGGATCTGTAATATAGGGACCGGCTTAACCGCTGCATCGAGATTCTTGGTCAGGAAGTCCCAGAATATCTTTGGCCAGAAGAAGCCATGGATGCCAGCAGCCAATTGGACTATCACTTTCGTTAGTTCCTGGAGCCGTATAAACCAATTGACATGTCAAAGAAGGGGATGCTGGACATACATATAGCAGCAGTGAGGATGATGAGGCGAGCCCAGTGGTTCTTGATGAGTTTGCCCATGGTGCTGAGGTGGGAGATACGGTCTTGAGGGCCTTTCTATCTCGCTCGATCTTCGCCTTCCCCTGGGCCGGCGGACCGAGATATAAGATAATATACCTCACAAGTCCCCGGCTTGAGCGATTTTCGAAGTGTATCAGAAGGCGCAAAAAACAAAAACAAAAGCACTTCTAAGATTTGGCCGGATATAGGTAGTCAAGTGGATGGCCAGCAACCACAGGAAGCCAATTCCCTTTGAACGAGCAGTAGATGCCGAGTGAGGTGAGGGCCGGCAGGCTGTGTATTCGGCGGGTACACACACTGAAGTGAGAATGGATGGGTGGATGGCTTAAACGTTGGTGTATTCTTGAGGGATATTCAATGGTCAACGATTCAGATTCGATCGCTTCCTCTGCTGCAACTCTCGGGCGTCAGTCTCTGTAAATTCTTCTTCTTCCTGTTGTGGCAAGCGGTGGTGGTCCTACTGTCATCGCCTGCGCTTCATGTCCCTTGAGCTGTCCATGAGAGGAGCGAGCTGTGTTCCACAACGGGCGAGGATGTCTTTTGCTGTGAGGGACGCACTGATGCACAGCTAGGAAGGCCTTGCAGTGTTCTCGGATGACGGCTTGACGTGTGGGTGGGTTGAATATATGCAGTGAAGATCCGGCAGTGAACCTGTGATAGCTGGACTGGACTGTCTGTCTGTCTGTATGTCTGTCCGTATGTACAATATCAGACGGGACTGGACAGTTATAATATGAGGAGACAGAGCAGCCCATGGACTCATATGATAGATATTAACTATCAGGAGGGGGAGACTCTCTTTCCTAGCGGCTAAACCAACATGTTGCCATGCAGCATATGCTCTCCCGCACCGCTCTTCAGGCGAGCAGGAGGGAACTCCCGGCGCCCACACTCCCTGCCTGCGGCTTGGGTGCTAAGTGCTACAAGTCCATGCTCAGGGAAGCAGAAGCGTCCGCCCTGGCCCAATAGAAGCGCTGATATCCCATCTGGCCTGCTCGCCGGCGTATCTATAATTGGCAAATGAGCTGCAAAAACGGAGCGAGAAAGTCGCTGATATCACACTCTGCTTTTTCCTCTCCTCTTGCATGGCCTGCATGACAGGGCTTTTTTTCTTCTCCCTTCCCCGTTGCTTTTTCCTGCAGACCAGGAAGCACCAGAAAGAACCAGCGAGAGCGAGAGATCTCATGCAGGCGAAGTCCTTAGCGGTCCTTGGGAGATGTGACGAGGAACGGCCAGCGTGCAGGACGGGCTGTCGATTGGCCAGCAGCAGGGATGGAGGCTGTCCACTGCCGTCTGCAAGGTCAAGGTCAAGTCCAGGATCATGGACGGAGAAGTAATAATAGCATCCATCCTCTGCTTCTGTCTGTTTCTCCTGCTACGCCTCTTTGGATGAGCTGGTCGTCCTCGAGTTACATATCAACAAAATAACATTGGTAGGCAAAGTGGTTATTGGTGAGCCCCTGAGACATCGACGGCCTTCTGGAAGTAAACCAACTAGACCAACAGACAGGAGACGCTGGCTGGCGTCTACTCCTGCAACTAGAGTCTCAGGGGTCGTATGAATGTTGGATGACGATGAGGGCGAGGACGATGGTCTTTCTCTTGGATGCCCGAACAGCCTTTTGGGGCCTGCGACGCTTGCCGACATGACAGCTACGAACACCGTACACATATAGACCACAGCATCAATGACATACATACTCCGTACAGATGGACAGACTACAGATGGACTGTCTCACGATGAAGACGACGCCAGAGACAGGAGATGTCGCAGAGTGCCTCACCAGGCTGACCTGGAAGCGCCGTACCACCCGGTTGCAGCGTACAGACAACTATCGTGATGGCAGAGGGCCCATCTTCCAACAAGAGCATCAAGTAACAACGCGAGTAGCGGTAGTTGAAAGACACGATGGAAGATACGGAGCCCAAACAGCCAGTAGACGATTCAAGACGCGGTACCTCGACTCTTGGTAGCTCCGTGGTAACGCTACGTTGACATGCATAGCATCCTCTACATGGCCGGAACACCCCCCTGTGTATGTACGGTGTACCTCTCGCTCTCGCTCTCCACGGCCAAATGTCAACAACGCACTTGGACAGCTCCGTTGACCCCGGCAAGCGTGGGCGGTTGCAGAATGCCCCTGATAGGCTCGCTTTGGATCCTTTGACACAGGCCCGTCTCCGCTGGCTGATGTGATGGGATGAGTCCCCCGAGCTGGGGCTATCTATCTCATGTATCCATTTTTCCATCTCTTGATTAACCACGAGGGCCCGTTATTAAGGCCGTGCCGGTGAGGTGATAGGGAACTGTCTCCTCCGCTTAGATACGAGTCGCCAGGTCGGGTGCCAGCCAATTACCTGGTGTACTAGCAGTGCTCTGGATGTCTCGAGACGGCCACCACGGCCGTTCAAAGCCACCTTCACACCCTCATTGGCCTGTGGCGCTTTTAAGATCGATGTCCGCTGAACCCTACTAAGTGGGCTTCCTATCGCTCACTCTATCTCGCTTTCTCTTCTCCGAGTTGGCAGAGGACAGGCCCTCGCTTTTACTCTCCCCGCGCAGGGGGGTGTGATTACACGAATGTAGGCCAATTCGCCTTGCTAGCTATCTCAAAAGGTAGAAGACAGGTCGGCCCAGTTGACGGACTATCGGTCTTGGTCTTCTTCTCTTGACCCTTCTCACCGCAGAGAGTGGTGCTACGCCCAGCATTTCCATCCTCTGGGCATCCGGGCCCCTTGCTACTTGCCTCCATTGCATTACTCACAGCCAGGCTGAGTCTTCTACCTGTCAATTGCTTCCTAGCCACTCGGCATTCCCCTCTTCGTCCATGGGGAGGAAAAGCAAAGAATAAAAAGAAATAAAGGGGAAAAAAGAGCTCAAATTTGGTTACAATAGAATCCTTCAACGAGCCATTTTACCGACAGCGTCTACGGATCATTTCCCTCAACTAAATAAACCAACAGACAAGACAAAGGGGAACAAATAACAATTCAGGTTAAACCAGACAATTATACCAACCCACGTTTCAGCATGGCCTAATGCGCAGGGGGGGGCCAAACCAGTTTTTTATTTTTTCATTTAACCGCTCTGCCAGTTGGCGCTTCTGCGCATCATATACACACCTGCCAGGACGGTGGCATCAAGTCGAACCAAACATCGCAGCCTCGCTCTATGTAAAACAAAGGCCGCTCGAGAGATATCTATCTTTGGACACCATCGTCGACCTCAGAACCTCCTTACCACCCGTTACCCTCTCTCAAGCGCCAGATCAATCCACTCCGGTACATATATACGTACATACACACGCCTCACGTACCGCCGCATCCTCCGTACGCCGCATCCGAAACCCTGCACGTTTGAGATGTGAGAGAAGGAAGGAGAGAGCGTGCTATTTGAAGGGAAAAAAAAGCCGCAGCCAATCCACCGTGGATATTTATTACCATTGATATTGTGTGAACTCCCAATCGACCATCTTTTTAGCGGAGGATCGTTGGTCCTATTTTTGGAATCCGGGGCAAGGCAAGGCAAGACAAGCAGCAAAAAAGGACGCAGAATTAAAAGTCCGATTAGACGCTGGCCGCCGTGGCTAGCGTCAGGACTGGATCATAACAACGTGCAGCTGTCTGACGTTGGCTGCTGGTCTATTCATGGAGTGGCCTGTTTCACCGACACGGCATTCTATCAATAGGGCTAGAGTGGGTAGGTAGGACCTTGGAAAGGAGCGTTCGTCCATTAGCACCTGGAAGAGGACGACTGCGGCACTGGGTATCTTTGGTTACGGTGCCATTGTCTGCCTCCTGACAACGTTGTGGGCAGGCAGTTCGTTGTTGTACTATCCGTACCGGCAGTCTCCGCAGCCTTCTTTTTTCTGGATACATCCTCTGTTCACCGGGCCTAGAAAGCATTCATTCTACTTTTCCGGATATAATAAAAACTACGCCTTTGTTCCTTTGTGGTCCTACTGGATCCTCGCCACCAACCGCCTTCTGAACCGGAGTATTCTGTGCCTTACGACCAATTTAACGAATTTTCTTATTTTCCATACCCGTTCTCCGGCATCCAATTTCTTAGTTCTTCTTTTTCCCTTTCAAGCGTTGCATACTCCCCCTTATTTGACGATTTTACTTGGTTGTCCTTTCTTCCTCCCTTTCTTCCTATCGTATCTTCTGGTTCAACAGAGCTCCAAGCAGCTTTTGACTGCCCATCATGACGAAAAAGACTTCTTCCAAGTGGAAGTCTCATTTTAATCCTTCCAAGCTACTCTTCTACTTCATTTTCTACGGTCTTCAGATAGGCTTCTTTGCCTACGGATGGTAAGCCGAAACTCTATCCTTATTTCTCCTCACTAATTATATACAATAAGTACATCGGCTAATGGCATACATAGGTGGAAACAAGCGACTGATCATAGGCTGGACGCCCTCAACACCCTAACATTCTCAGTATGGATATCCCGGGGTGCTGGGTTTGTCCTTTCGATAGATACAGCCCTCATCCTTTTTCCCATGTGCAGAACGCTGCTCAGATATGTCAGGCCAAAGGTGAAATGGCTTCCTCTCGATGAATCTCAATGGTTCCATCGACAGATTGCATATTCGCTGCTCATCTTCAGCGTGATACATGTGGTAGCACATTACGTCAAGTAAGCATGGTTTCCCGCCCCTTCAAAGAGATACCAAAAGCTCGTTTCTAATAAGTGACCAAATAGTTTCTTCAACATCGAGCGGTACCAGGCACGTCCGGAGGCGGCTGTTCAGATCCATTATACCCAAGCCGGGGGAATCACCGGCCATGTTATGCTTCTTTGTATGCTGTTGATGTATACCACATCACATCACAGGATCCGGCAGCAGTCGTACGAGACCTTCTGGTACACGCATCATCTCTTCATCCCATTCTTGCTGGCTCTATACACACATGCCACTGGATGCTTTGTGCGAGATACAGCTGATCCCATCTCTCCATTTGCGGGCAAGAAGTTCTGGGATCACTGTATTGGTTATGAGGGATGGAGATGGGAACTCTGGGGCGGTGGCTTCTACCTCATCGAAAGACTCTATCGAGAGATCCGAGCTGCGAGAGATACTGAGATTGTCAAGGTTGTTCGACATCCATACGGTTAGTGGACTCGGGCATATATATCCCGCTTACATCCAACATTGCTAACACTTAATGCTTAGACGCCATGGAAATCCAATTCCGTAAACCCAGTCTGCGCTACAAGCCTGGGCAGTGGCTCTTTCTCCAAGTCCCGGATGTTTCTCGAACGCAGTGGCATCCATTCACCATCACATCGTGCCCTCACGATCCATACATAAGCATCCACATCAGACAAGTAGGAGATTTCACACGTGAGCTCGGTAACCGACTTGGTTGCGGTCCCGAGCAAGCAAAGGACATCGACGGCCTCGATCCGCTTGGAATGTACGAGATTGCCATGCAGAATGGCCAGACGATGCCCAAAATACGTATCGATGGTCCCTACGGAGCTCCCGCAGAAGACGTATTTAGCAACGATGTTGCCATTCTCATCGGCACAGGCATTGGAGTGACTCCCTGGGCATCCATCCTAAAAGACATATGGCACTACCGAGCCGGGCCTAACCCTCCTGCCCGTCTCCGCCGAGTCGAATTCATCTGGATTTGCAAAGACACCAGCTCATTCGAATGGTTCCAAGCCCTGCTCTCCTCCCTAGAAGCTCAATCTGCAGAAGAAGCTCGTTCCGGACAAGAATTTCTTCGCATACACACTTACCTTACCCAGCGGTTCGACCAAGACACGGCCGCAAACATCTACCTTAACTCGGTAGGCCAGGAACTTGACCCTCTCACCGAATTAAGAACGGGCACTAGATTTGGTCGGCCGGACTTTGCTCGTTTCTTCCGTGCTCTGCGTTCCAGTATCATGGATCGCACTTACATGTCTAATCTCGAGGCAACGCGCCGGGCTGACGTTGGAGTCTACTTCTGCGGTCCCAATCAGGCGGCTAAGCAGGTTAAAAAGGCAGCGAAAGAATGTACCAGCAAAGAAGTCAAGTTCAAGTTCTGGAAAGAACACTTCTAGCCCTGCCCTGTTTGTCTATCTTTTACTACATACACACTCTCTCATATACCCAACCCGTCAACATATACACGGAGGATTATTTGCTATTTTTGCTGTTCTTAGTTAGAATATAAATCCCAAACCCCGGCTTGAGAACCTGTTTTGCGTCTAGTCTTTGCCGTGCGGTCCTTTTGTATAATCTTCTTATGGATTTTAGCGCTTTCTCTTATAAATTCAACGTATACCCGTTTCTTTACTCTGAATGATGAGCCAACTTGTAAACCACCGCTTGAGGGAAAAGGTAATATTTCACCTGTAAGAGGGCATTTCTGACTGAATATGGACTTCTCAAGATATACGAGATTGATAAGCCAACAACAGTAACAATTATAGCCGAGTCAAATGCAGCTTTCCTTCCATATCCAAATAAAAACATGCCCGAACCAGATCCTAAACAGGTGCCATAAAGATAGCCATAGAACTATACAGTGGTTTTATACATTGTGTATCATCCGAAGCTGCATCCTGCCCCAATATTTCCTGCAGCTTGGTCGTTTATACGTTCAACTCCGTCTATCGACTCAAAAGGACGCCTTTAGAGTCATTTGTCGAGCCATTCCTTTCGGAGTTCTAGTAGTTAACTAAGTCAGCAGCCATATATCAAGAATGAGGCAGAGAGAGAAGAGATGCCATACCTCTGTTTCTTGCAGGTCTCCCCGCTCCAGTATCTTGGTAATACATTCCATCTCATCCGATGTTCCAAACTCGTTTGACAGTGTTGCCTTGCTAGCTCCGTCATGGATTCCTTGTGCGCCATGTCTATAAAATACAGAAGTCAGCTATCAGGTACCCAGGCTACATACCACAATCCAATGCAGCATACCTGTGAGTAATGAATATCTTCCATCCACTAACAACCTGAGCTAGAGGAACAGTCTTGTCCTTCCTCCACTGCTTGACGCTGGCAACATCATCGACGAAGACGACGAAATCGTCTGTCTCTCCCTTGTAGAAGACCTTGTATACTCCGACGTTTCCGCGAGCCATGATTGTGATGTGGTAGTCGTGTATATGTTCTGTGTTTTCCCTTCTAGCTTAATGGACAGCTCTGGGAGGTTAAGTAGTTGTAGATTGGCGGGGTAAAGAGCTGGGAAGGCAAAGCCTGTGGCTTGTTGCTGAAAGTATATAAAGATCTAGATATCAGGTTTGTTGGGTTGTATGCACGAAGTAGATGTAGTTTAGGCGTTTCCTCTAACAGCTGTTGTAATCGATGGGACCGGAATTGAGTGAATTGGCATTTCCAGGGGAGCAGCGGCGTCTCTATTTATGCCTGGCAACGCGCAGGCTCTCTTGCGTGTCTCCATCGCCGTCCTCCCGGTGTTCTTGCACTTGCAGTCGAGATGTACGGAGTAGCAGGTACAAGGTCCGTGTCCGGTTTCCTGCTTGCGCCGCTCGTCACTTTTCCGACCAACGTCATAGTGGGTCTCGGATCTTGGCACCCATCCACAGTCACGTGTGACGTCACGCTTCACCTTTCCCCTTTTGGCTTTGTTTGTGTTTCTCTCGTCTTCGAAGCCTTCTTGATCTGCACTCGAGATAGCGTCACTTCTGCTCCACGAAGGGCCAGGAACGCAGCCGATAATGGAGTATTGCTACACACGGTAACGATTGGAACTGCAGCTTGCATTGACTATTGATAGAGCTACGTAGCCGTATCTGGAATCATCCACTAACTACAAAGAAGCATGCTAGCTACGGGGGAGAATGTTCAGAAGGGGCTCGCGTACAGCAAGGGAATGATGATATCTACACTTCAACCGGCCTGGTACGACGAGAGCGGCCTGGAGTCGTAAATATTGAGACACCCCACCTGGTACGTTTGCCCGTCTTGGTGCCCTCCTTGACGTATTTGGCGCTGGTCCCTGGAGCTTCATGTTGCACCATCTCGTCAGCACACTTGATCTGCGGCAAGGCTGTGTAGTCTGGTGAAGAGCTTCTCAATGGGTGGGCGTCGATTGTTTCATCCAACTCCCGAGTGCTGTGGTTGGAGATGGGGCTGGTGGGGGTTGTCGTGTCCGTCTCTTCGGCCCTTGAGTGAGACTTGATTGACTGAGTCGTAGCAGATGCAATGCTGCTGGCACGACGGGAGAATGGGCGACGACTGCTGAGGCTCCTAAAGAACGACCCAGCCTGGGATCGGATGAACAGTTCGCCGCGTCCTGGCATTCCAGGATATGGGATGATATCACAAGTCCACATATCAGATAACCACCTCTCCATACGAATTCTGGTCTGACGGTTCGGCGCTAAGGTTTCCATTGGGGTGACAAGAAGGGTTTGAGGTCTCGATGGTGACATACTCGGCGTTTGATTCAGTCGTGGAATGGCCTCTGTTCCTTTGATACGGACTAGCCTGCAGATGGGCTGGACCATATTACCCGCTTCATTGATCGTTACCACGGGTCGTCTTTTGATCGGGAACATAACCTTCGTCCCGATTCTAGGAGTATCTACCGTGATTTCCGGGGATATGTTCTGCAGGAGATGGTCCTTCCACTGATCCGCCTCCCTTGTAGAGCATGCAGTCATGACGAGCTCATAGGTTTCCCCGCTGGCAAGATACAGAAATTTCCACGAATGGGGCGTTCGCGTACATTGCAAACCTACTCAGTCATTAGCATTGCGCTTTCTCTAAGGTAAAGCTTCGAGCATAGAGCATGGCAAACCGGGTTTCTCGTTGACATTCTCGACCTTTGCCCGGGTTGTAGCAATAACAGCTAGTACACCGAATTTGCGAGTTTCGGTACGAGGAACAGCCAGAATGATATGTGAGGCAAAGAGAGCACAAGCCATGTATTCCCCTGCAATTGACTCTGTGGCCTCGTATGTAATATGTAGAACACCACAAGCCTTAATTGGACCAAATTCGCGAAGGATATCCCTATCCCTGCCCTAAGAGAATGTTAGCTGTGATGTTTCAATGGAAGGAAGCAATTGACCTACAAAACCAGTGAAGTCCAGCCTGTTTCGGAGGAGTATTGTCTTTGCCATACGATCCTTGGCTACGGGGTCCCCAGTCGCTCGGTTGATTTCCTGGACTGTATCAATCATGCACTGATGAACCATCTCGAGAGCTTCATGCGCTGCCGGGCAGTCCGAAGATGGTGTGCATTTCAGTAAATCCGACAGGAACAATTGGTACTTGCACACCCTTTGAATTGGCTGTTATCAAAGCTTGTTAGATTTGACCGTTCTCACGACTTCAGAATCCGAATTTATTCCCACCTTGGCAAGCAGATCACCAATGGTAAGTGCTTGGTTTGGGCTCAGCTCCTGACACTCTCTGGGTGCCAATGATCGAGAGAGTGCTTCAGTACCATTGTCCCACATTTGAAAGTCAACAGTTTTCCGGAGCTCCTCGATTTCTTGTGATACCAGGTGGTACTTGACGCCATATTCCTCGTAGATTTTGAACTTTGGCAACTAGAGAATGGTTTTAGTTTCAATAACTATAAGAGCAAATTTTTTCTATTTTTTTTTTTTTTTTTTTTTTTTTTTTCAAATTTTCCTACCTTTGACATCAAAATTTCAGCTACCTTCTGAGCTTCATTGGGTTCGGCAGCAATATTCCTACGTGACCTAATACGATGCTCAACGGGTTCACGCATCCTTCGACTGGTCACGGATTTGCGGTGGCAGTCAGTGCTAGATTGTTTAGACGCTTTCTTTCCCACCATCCACTTCATGGAGGCCGCGAACGTGGCGGTGGGGACGCGAGGGACAGCAATTCGGAGTGCGTCGAGAAACGTGCTGTGTAACCTCAGTAGCGTTCCCACGCTTCGTCCAATTCCAGTCTGGCTGGTTATTGTGGTTGAGAATACCTTATGAATGCAATGTTTAGTTAGAGCGCACAAAAAGCCGGAGAGCGAGTTCTATGGAGCAGCTTACCTCACCTAATGCACGTAGTCCAGACACATACACGGTTTCAGTGCCTACCAGCTCTTGAAGGATTTGGCGTCTCTGAACAGCACGGTTCCAGGCAGCCTCATCAAGGGAGACTGAGGTAGTCAGCCGATTGCTATCAATGGATGCCCTAGCCGCTTCGGAGTTTGAGAACACGCTGGTGCTATACTTGGTACTGGTCACCGTGTTCGTACGTGCTCTGCCGGCCACACTCAATGTTGCCTGGCTGAAACTTGCAGTTTCCATGTTCTTTACCGGCGCAGACGAGGTATCAGAGACCGTATCCGGCAAGGTTTCTGGTTCATTTCTAGCAAATATGAGACAGCCTTCCTCTGTATTTTCGTCTGGCCAACTCATGACAACTCTCCGAGGTTTAAGTACATGGGTTCTGTTGCTACGGACGCTTCTCATCCAACTCTTGAAGATATACCCATCTTGGCTAACGGGAGCCACAGAGCCAGTAGACTCTATCGAGGGTCGTCTGCCGTCCGCCTCAGCCGGGGGTTCGTCTTGAGGATCATCTTCAGAGTCATTTTGAAAGAGTTCAGACAATGCAAGGTCAATGTCTAGTGGAAAGTCCACCACAGGGTCAAGGAATTCTGTGGTCTCCATGGCTTTTCACGTGATATTAACGTGTAAAAATGAAGGACAAGAACTTGACAGGCATAGCCAGTAAAACAAAATAAAGGAATGACATACAATATGAAAATCTAAGGAATGGAAGTGAGGGTGACAGGCAGAAGAAGAGAAGAGAGGTTGGGTTGAGGTGAAGAAATTTTCACCAGGCGTCCTTTCTTCCATTTTGGGGAAGGGGCAACAGAGGACCGTAGTATCCAAAGCCGCACTACGACTAAGCAAGACATAGGCGCTGTAGATATAAAGAGGGCCATAGATACATAGATATATACCTAGGCAGATAATAGACAAGAATATATGGTGTAGATGTCGATGACTTCACGGCATATAAAAGCTAGGGCTTGCATCATCATCTGGCTCTCTTTACTAGAGGAGTTCCACCCTTAATAGAAATGTATGTTAGAAAGTGATAAGTATCTAACAATAGAGGTATCCAAAAGGGTATTTACTTATACATAGCAAATAGATAGTATTGAACTACTCCATTTATACTATGTTTAATAATAATAATGCTCCTCTTTATAAAAATAACTAATAAGCATATAGTATAAAGAGTAAATAAATAATATATAAAATTGTGTGTTTATACCCTTATCGAAGTTTATAGTGTCTCTCACATATAGATATAAAAAGTGTGCCATGAAGCTAGATAATGCATAGCTTTGTGTACTTAGGCGGCTAAGAAAAATTAGGTACCTAGGTAGGTAGTTTGTATCGAAAGACTTTCAAAGAGAGAGAAAAAAATTGATGACTAAGCCGGATCAACCTCCTTGGCAGATTTGACTGGTTTGCACCCGCGATAAGATGGAAACGCTGCGAAAGTTGGCGACCCCTCGACAAACGCGACATCTCAGTTGCTTCCACGCAAGAGATACACGGCAGAAGCGATGGACTCCTGATCCAATGTAATATTATCATGGGCATTCCGATGGACGATATTCATACTCCCACGGTCCCTGCTGGGCCCGTTTCTGGTGCAGGTTCCGCCAGCGCGAATCTCTCAAAGGCGGGCCTAACGCAGCTCTTCGACGAGAAGGAGAAGCTTGAGGCAGAGCTGAAAATACTCAGTGACGTTCTTGGATCAGTAGGTTGATGTTTATCCCATACGGATGCTTCTTTTAATAGCAGAAACAGGTCTAATGAACTCCTGTAGCATGGCGTCGACATGAACACGAGTTTGCTTACTGATGATGGATTTCCAAGGGCAGATCTGGATATTGCACAAAGTACAGTGATTTATTACCCTTTGCTTCGGTGGACTTTTCCGCTGACTTGCTTGTGTTGGGCAGTACGAACTACCAGAGCGCGGATAATACGTCTACGGAATGATTATAAGGCTGTCATGTTGAAAGTCGAAGAGGGCTTAGCAGCATACTTTTCTAGCACAAAAGATAAGGATACAAATATCTCCGCTACTCCATCTACCGGGCCACCAGCAATACCCCAAGATGTAGAGGGGGCCTCTGCAGCCCAGGCGGACACATTCGACATGCCATTCGCCAAGGTCAATAGTGTGGCGGATGGAAGTCCCGCGTCCAAAGCTGGTTTGAAGACAGGAGACAAGGTCTGCAACTTTGGTAACATAACGTGGGCTAACCATGAAAACCTGACGAAGATTGCAGCGGTTGTTACAAATAACGTAGAGGTTGGTGCCATCCAGCTTTAAACAGCTTATTTTCCTTTAGCTTCACTTTTGCTGACTCCATTTGTTTAGCTTCCCATCCTTGTCAAGGTAACGAGAGATTTGGATGGGGAAATCTCGCCACTCACCTTGCGGCTCACTCCAAGTCACAACTGGGGCGGCAGGGGACTGCTCGGTTGTCATTTAGTGCCATTATGAAGAGTTATCGACCTCCCACATACGGAGAATGAAATATTTCGTCACTGTGCTGAACACTGGCTGTTGATCTGCTGGTATGGATCCGATCTTTTCATGGCTCGAGAGGCGGACTAGATTGTATATTATAGCATTAAACCTGGCCCTGTTCGCTATGAGTAACCGCAGCTATCGTATTATTATAGTGTTCTCCCAAATGATGAATCGAGCAACCGTTTGCTAACCAAAACAAGCATATTGGGACCTATGTTACAATAACTAACTAATAATAACAGAATATAGGATAATATCATAGTCCCATAAAATACCTGAAGCTATAACTATTGGCAGTGGCAACACCCCTGGTACCATAACTGGACAGTCAACCTTGGCATGGCAGCCTTATTCTCAAATATAGAATATCTTATCAACCGCAGCGGTTGTGCATAACGACTTTATCAGCCTCAACTGTCACTTTAATTAGTCAGCCCCCTCCGTGTGGCGAAGGGTAGTCACGTGCTTAGATAAATTTCAACCCAACCTTCTTGTTCCGCTTCGGGCTTTGTTTTTTTTTTTCATAAGTTGATATCGTAGCCTTTAACCACTTCTGCTTTCCTTCAATACCCAACAACTGACATCTGACTGAGCCTGTACTGCTCGCTAGCGACGGATACGATCTACCGCCCGCGTTTCTCCGTCGAAAGGTCTTATCCAAGGCTGTCCTTGCCCCTCACATCCCAACAACCCCTCCCCTCTTACAAAAATGGCTGAAGCGAACGTACCAGCCTTCAAGCTCGTCCTTGTTGGTGACGGTGGTACTGGAAAGGTGAGCCTATATCCTAGTGCAGCTTGTGGTGATGCGTTTTACGTATTCCCTTGACTTTTAGGAGCGGAACAACGGTCTTAGCGCACAATATGTCATCTTATTCATTTGGATATTGATCGGTTAACCATCTATTTGATATAGACAACCTTCGTCAAGCGCCATCTTACAGGTGAATTCGAGAAGAAGTATATTGCCACTCTCGGTGTCGAAGTTCACCCTCTCAAGTTCCAGACCGTATGTCTCGATATCCCCCAGCGAGCTATACGCTACCCTGATAAGTCATTATGGAAACGACCTTAGCCGCATACTAACCGGCAACCTTCAGAACTTGGGTGTTATTCAATTTGATGTCTGGGATACCGCCGGCCAAGAAAAGTTCGGTGGACTCCGAGATGGATACTACATCAACGGCCAGTGCGGTGTCATCATGTTCGATGTCACCTCCCGTATCACCTACAAGAACGTCCCAAACTGGCACCGTAAGTGGGATCCATTAATTTTCTTGAAATAATCATTAGTCTAACCTTTGGAAACCCAAAAAGGCGACCTTATCCGTGTCTGTGAAAATATCCCAATCGTCCTTTGTGGAAACAAGGTCGATGTTAAGGAGCGTAAGGTGAAAGCCAAGACCATCACCTTCCACCGCAAGAAGAACCTTCAGTACTATGACATATCCGCCAAATCCAACTACAACTTCGAGAAGCCATTCTTGTGGTTGGCCAGAAAGCTTGTCGGAAACCAGGGTTTGGTTAGTTTATCTCTATTGCTCCCATTTTTCCAATTTTCCATCCATATGCTAACAGCTTGGAATAGGAATTCACTGCCGGCGTTGCCCTTGCTCCTCCAGAGGTTACCGTCGATCTCGCTGAGCTCCAGAAACAAGAAGACGAGATGAAGGAGGCTGCCAGCATGCCTCTGCCAGACGAGGAGGATAACGATCTTTAAACTGGGTCGTTGAAACAAACAGCTGGACGATTGCTTATTCGCCTTTTCCCCAATTGATCAGGCCAGTTGCATGGATACGTGGACACGATTTGGTTTGGAACGGGATGTAATACAGACACAATTGATGATGAGAATGAATAGGAGAAAGAAGGATTAAAAGAAAAAAAGTCTCAACGAAATATCTGAAACAAAAGAATCAGTTTCCGCACCGCATACAACAACAACACAGGTCAATTGACAACAAGCATAAACAGCATATCCAGCATGGGTGACATCTTAGAATGACGGCAAATATCAACTTCAACGTCAAGGTTATCAGGCACAATTTACGAAATACAATACCCTTTTAGTAATATCCTTTCTCAAGGAAACATGGCTATATATTGCCTCGATCTTTAATTATGGACTACGCACTTGGGAAGGCTAAGGTCTTCTTGAGAGCAAGTAGGTTGATACTTGCTTTTATCAAAGTTGATATCCCCGTAGAATTTGTTTAATGCAGATCTTGGTAGTTAACTATTAGAGTAACCCATATACATAAGGAATAAATGACCAAGGACTTAACTAGTCTATTCGGTGGACAAAACTAACTAGGACAAAAAGGTAGAGATCGTAATAGGTTTCTGCAGCACTCGAGGGTGCTTTTTTCTATAGATATATGCTCTATGAATGATTGTTGTATGCCAGCGAATAGAAACAACGTGAATGGGATCTTGGTAGAGCAGGTTGGGGAAAAGCAGATACTGTGAAGGGGAAAAAGAGAAAAAAATTTATAAGACATTTGAAAGAAGCTACCCAGGGTATATGCCCATGCCTCTGGTATATGTTGAGGAGGAAGAATGATACCCGCAACCGAAACCGAAAATAAACAAAGGGGGGGATATCAAATAAAACTTATTGAAAGGACAAAATGTACCGCCCACCAAACCTGAGTACACGGTGCCATAATAATGAAAGGAAAGGGGAAGAGAAAGGAGCGAAAATACCAAAAGTTTAAAAGAAATCTAAACATGGCCATATGTTGTGTCTATAAATCCATGGGCAAGAAAATGGACTCACACCAAAGACCAGTGTCCAACGATTGATATTAGCAATTCTCCAGATTGGAGGTACAAGATATTTTCAATGTCAAGCATTGAAAAGCAAGGGGGTATGACCCAAAGCGCGCCAAATTACTAATGGCCGTTCTAAAATGGAGGAAACCGTCAGTAGGCAGAACATAAGGCCAGGGGAGCAAATAGAGAATATACGTACGAATAGAAAGTTCAATTCTTGGACGCCTAGTCTTCCAACTTTCGAGCTCGCTTTCTCATCTAGAGCACCCTCGATAATCTGTCTCTTCTTATCTTGAAGAGCAACAATCCGATCTTCAACTGTATTCTCAACCAAAAGCCTATGAACCATAACAGGTCTCAACTGCCCAATACGATGAGCACGATCAATTGCTTGATCTTCGATATATGGGTTCCAGAAAGGATCAAGAATAATAACTTGCGATGCAGCGACGAGGTTCAGGCCGGAGTTGCCGGCTTTGAGCGAGACGAGCATGATACGACAGTCCGAATTATCAGTGAAGTCAAGGACAGACGCGTTGCGGTCTCCTGGTTTCATACTACCGTCGTAGCGGCGGTAGTTCCAGCCTCGTCGGTTGATGGGGACTTCGATAAGGTCGAGAAGGGAAGTAAACTGGCTGAAGATAATAGTCTTTTCGTCTCCTGAGTCACGCAGTGATTGCAGAATCTCAATCGTCTTATCGACTTTAGCACTGGTTTCCCATCGTTTATCAAGGGTGCGGAGGTATTTGCGTTTGGCCTTGACGTTTCGCTGTGCGTCCTTCTTCAGCTCGGCGAGAGATTTCTTAGGTTTGGCCTTCCCTTTACCCTTCTTTCGTCTCTCCTCATCTTTGCCACGAGCAATGAATCCATTAAGTGTACCTCTCTTATCATCGTCACTGTCACTGTCGCTGTCCTCAGTTTCGTCATCTTGCCCACCGGACTTGCCGTCTTCAGCCGTAGGCTCTTCTCCTAAGACATGGACTTTTTGGAAGGATGCATGATCCGTAACTTTCTTAGGGTCAATTTTCGCACGGCACGAAGGACATTTTATTTCAATCATCCCATCGTTGCCTTGCACCAGTCCTTGCGCAGGATCAGATATCTTTGCAAAACACTCTGCACAGGTGCTGTGGCCACAGGGAAAGAAGATAACAGCATTCTCAGCCACATCTATGCAAACCGGACATTCCGAGGCCTCCTGTGCCTTGAGTCTTTCGATGACAGTATTGTCAAGCCTCTTTGCATTAGCAATGAGATCGATCTCCGCGGAATCCGTGCCAACATTGACTGCGAAGTCATTAATTAGATGTGGATGGCAACAAGCCTGGCGTAACCGCAGCAGTAAAACAAGCACGTTCGAGTAATTTCTCCCAACAGTACCAGCCTGGAGGTACCTATTAAACTGCAATTGAGATTTTGTTTCAAGGGCTTGATAGAAGCTTTGTTCATCTTCACTGAAGAGAGTATGGACCTTTTCAGTTACACGAGGAGGCAGTTGAAGAATTGGTTTGCCATCGATCTTTGACGATTTCGTACGGCGTAAAAGGATGGCCTTGAGAAGAGCCTGGAGTTTCTTCATAGCTGTGCTTTGGACTGCGTTTTCATCATTCTTCAGGGGTCTGGTAAATGTGCTGTTAAACCGCTCAAGTTTGTTATATGGGCCAATCCGGAGGAAACATATCAAGGAGTAGAGTTCTTGCACATTATTCATCATCGGTGTGCCGCTCATACACCACCTATAGATTGATTGGAGTTCGTAGCATGCCTGAGCGCCTCTTGTGTTGCGGTTCTTAATGCACTGTGCTTCATCGATGATGACTCGGTACCATTTGCTGTCTTCGTCTAACATTGGCAGATCCTCAGAGTGTGAAAGGCGGCGATTCTGATAAGCATTGGGATTGTCCTTTTTGAACTTAATCCACTTTTCCTTACGCTTGAGTTCGGATGCCAGGGTGCCAAACGTAGTCAAAACAACGTCGTAGCGCCGTAAATCGTCAAATTTAACTGAACGACGCTCTCCGTGCAAGATGAAGACTGAAAGTTGATGCTGAGAGCCAGGCTTCAGCATCCGGTTTATTTCCCGCTTCCATTGTTGAATAAGAGCAACAGGGGCGATAATAAGATTCGTCTTCCGCACTAAGTCGGTACTGGGCCGTGAAACCATCAAAGCTAATGCCTGAATTGTCTTCCCAAGGCCCATGTCATCAGCGAGTATCCCGCCTTTGTTGGAGCCTTCTTCCATTGATCTCATCCAGGCCAATCCTAGTTTCTGGTGCTCCATCAGTGGGAACTTGAGCGCTTCTGGGGTTCCTTCACGATTGAGGTCGAGCTCTTGGTCTGGACGAATGTTTTCAAGGAGAGATTTGAGCTCCTTTTTCATTTCGTCGGGAGTTAGCCCGTCGATGGCATACATGTTTCTGCTGCGATTAGCCAAAGTACCGCGTTAAGGTGTGAGATGGCTCCTTACCGTAAGTTATCGATCTGTGACCTTGTTGACGCATAAGTATGCGGTGCTTTTCCTCCGCAAAGGCAGCCGGGCGGGCACTGGTTGGTCATAAATGGCCGCAGATAACGTGGGAGGTTTAGCTCTGGCAGTGTTCCATCTAAGCCAAGGTCTCGAAGGCTCTGATTATAGAGATTTCCAAAACTTCGAACGCCAGGGAGCCGCTGACTAGATCCTATACCACTTGAATTTGCATATGGATTGGGATTGTAAGTTGGCGGAGTATAGATAGCTCTAGAACTGTTGCCAGATGCCCAGGGATCCGGAGACCGGTCTGAGAGTGAATTGAAAGAGTCTTCTACTTCACTGTCACTGCTTAACTCGATATAATTCTTTGAGGTAGCACGCCATGAATCTCCACTGGTTGAGCCAGTATTTTGCGAGGATCCAGGTATGGACGGACGACTGCCGGAGCCGGTTCTCTGCCAGGAGGTAACGGGATAGTTGGCGGTGCTTCTTCCAATAACACTCCCTCCGGTAGGTACTGGGAAACCAGACCTTGATCTAGATGCTGATGCCGGTCCAAGGGGAGGAAGCATTGCTCTCATCTGTTCTCGCGAAGGACCGAGTGTTGGCACATGCCTTCCAAGCTGTGGCTGTTGAGTGAAATGCGGCTGAGTTTGTGCTTGTACTGGCGTTGAGTTTTGCCGTTGAGCTACTGGGGCCGGAGCAGGAGGTGGGGGAGGTCGGTATACAATCTCATTCTGTTCATCGAATCTTGACGAATTATGTATTGTGTCATCCCAGGTCTCCTGCAAAGTGCGAGCGAACTCTTCATCTTTGCGTTCTTGTTCCCGTCGTTCTTTGAGCCAGGCCTCAGCTTTACGCTGCTCTTCCTCCAGCGCGAGGAAGTCATCGTCTTCGTCAATACCAAAGAATCCGAGCAGGTCAGGATCAGGCGCAGCAGCCATGGAGACAGACTGGCTGGAAGAACCAGCATTCTGTGTCGGAGAGACATATCGACGGGTTTTCGGGTCGTGAAGGATAGCGGATGAGGTGGTGGGCGAAGAAGGTGCTCGAGGGCGTTTCCGGGAGGGACCAGCCTCCATGGCGGTTGCAGACAGGTTAGACGAAGAGGAGGAAGATGATGAAGAGGCCTCCAGCTGCTGGCGTGGTGACGTCCGCTGCGCTGTGGTATTGGTATTGGTAGTTGGCGGCAGCGGAGACAGCGAGCGATGACTTCCAGCGGGCGTATTATTATGGCTGAAAGTGGCCTTGTCCTCCAAATCCGCCCACGAAACCATCGCCTCGACCTCGCTTGCGTCCATGAGTTTTGGACGACGACGAGAGATCTTATCTCAGCCGCAAGCAGTCGAAGATCCTGGTCTCTTTATGCGCCTCGTTCCGGCGTATCGCTTCCGCCATACACAACGCAAGGTATTATGCGGCTCAAATTTCAGTCTTGGTCAGGAACGCAATGATCAAGCGCACAGCTTGGTGGACTAGCCGTCACTTAAATAGCTCGAGTCCTAGACAGAATGAACAGGTAGATGATGCCGCGTAACTCGTCAACTATAGGGGGTTATACAGCGCGTTTCAGGCCAAACCTTTAGATGCGAGAGAGTACTCTGTAGACTCACTCGAAGGTCCTCTTTAAAACTAGCATTATCGGCTTCTGCAATGTCGATAATATAGCTTTTATATTTAACATTTATTATTTTTATTAATTTTCTAATACTTTTTTTCACTTTTGGTTTCTTTTTGTGTTGATTTTTTATATAAAATTTTATGTTTTTTGTTCTCTATTTTTTTTTTTTTTTTTGGTTTTTGGTTGAAAATCTTCAAAAGTTTCCAAGGACGTTAAAAGATGACTAAGCTATTAGTTTGTTGTTTGATGCCTAGCATAGTAACAAGAGAGGAAAAGGATGAATGGTACCACTATTAAGTATAAAGTTTGTTAAAGTAAAGGCGTATATTTATCACTTTGGGGACTTATTCATTAGGTAATATTAGATCATGCAACCTTGTATATCAAAAAGAACAACCGCTCCATCGTTTAGATGCTATGTACTGCCCGATGTAAACATAAACATGCAAAGCTTGAGCCACTACTTACTTTACTCCGTACTTATGCAGCCTCACGCCACACCCAACTATATTTAAACAGCTCTTTAACGTCCAAGCTGTGAATTGTTCCCATCTATATGTATCAGAAAGTCTCGCGGGCTCCTTGTCAGGGGTAAAAGAACTGCTTAGTCACTGATTGATAATATACCGGATCGGAATAATACTAAGGCGTAATATATCACGTGATCGTGTTTCACCCGCGTCTTTCTCGTCCCAAAAAGGCAAAACTGGACAACAAGAAAGATTTTGTTGCTTTTCAACGTTATGATTACTATTATTCTTGCCTGATACCAGGTGGAATGACACTCGTACAACCATGAAGGTGACTCGATGCCTAGACACCAGAGAGGGTTCCTTGATGATGCTTATGAGGCTCACCTTGCGGTGGAACCGTCGATCGCGTCCATAGCAACACAAGGCCTACGGAGTACTATGTAGAGTAGAACTTGCTGTTACGATCGCCGCCGCTGACCCCCGGCCAGCTCTGCGACCTGGTATACGGAGTACGAGCAGAAAAATATTACTTGGCACGACCCCATCATCGAGATGGAGCAGCGATAAATGCATCACTCTCGTCGGCGCGGTGCTTGGACGTGTTTGACCGTGCTGACGCCGCAACCACTTAACGCGGTCTCGCGTCTATTCCGCCCTTGCATCAACACCGATACCCTAGTCTAAACTCACGCAGACGCGCCTCGTATACGACTTAACCAATAAGCACCAGTAGACCCTTCGGCGTCGTTCTGTGCTCGCGATATTCTCGCGCTTCTGCTGCACCTCGAGCCTTCACCCTGGCAACCGGTGTAGCTTTGCTGATCGCTAAACAAGCCATGAGCGCGTTACTGCAGAGCAACTGGAGCAGGCCAAGAGCAGAGGCTGCGGACAGTGCATTCCGGATGGGCCCGCCCGTTGCCTCTCCCCATTCCCCGCCCTTGAAAAGGTGTTTCGTCGCATATTCGAAACATTTTCCATTTTTCCCTCCTTTTTCTCTTCTCCCGAATTTGTTTGATATATGACACTACATCTATGTCAATGTCCAAGGAGTGTCTGGCATACTCTTGATATATTTATGGATTTAATGACTTTTATGACATATAAACACACAGAATTTACGATCTAGGAACTTTTGAGGAGCAACGGAACTATATATTTATTCTGGTTTGATACCTGCAGGTCCAAGTGGTAGGTGCTTTTGCGCCTGATCCCTCACCAGGAACTGGCAAGTAACTGACGTGTTCAAAGGCGAACCATAGTAAACGGTAATTGCATTAATCTTTAAACTGCAAGAGACAACCCAGGCTGCGAAAAGAAAGGAAATATTTTTTTTTTGAAAAAGAAAATGCTACCGAGTGCATCTTTTATTCGGTTCTGGTCTACAGACTTGACTCGAGATGCATTTCTATCACACATGTCCAAGGAGGATCTCACCAATCTGCGACTGGTCTGTCATGACTTCAGCGTCCATGTTGAACCATTGCTATTCTCCGAGCTTGATGTCTCCTTTCGCAGCAGTACATTTACCCGACCAGCTCGCATGGCGGCCTTGGAGCGCATTGGAAGACATGTCAAATCTCTGAAACTGACCATTTCACACTCACCATCAACGTTCTTACCACCGCTCCTAGACCCTATTACCGGTGAGGAGCAGACTTTTGTCTATACACCTCAGGTCTACCCTTCATCGCCATCGCCATCACGGCTGAGTGGGCCAAAGTATGGGACATGGGAGATGACCGATCTACTAACGAAACAGTACCCTCCGCTCTTTCATGCTGCCACGAACATTGCCTCTTTTATGCGTGCATTTAAAGCACTGGACGGCCTCACCAAGCTTACTCTGTCCTGCCCGAACCAGTCTTCCCCCCATCGCTACCGTCGTAGCGTGGTAGACTATGCACTAATCTCTGTACGGTGCGCAGTGGAGCACAGCCCGCTGCCACGCCTGGCGTCTTTGTCTCTTCTCCCCATCCATCCGGGAGCATTGCTCTACCTGCGACCAACCGCTGGTGGGATTGGTACATCTCCTGCCTCATGCAAACGCTGGAGGCGGATCACCAACCTTCACATTGAGATGGATGCCTTTCCATACGGTGGAGGCGAAGCAACGGATCATCTGAAGCTTCTAGATTCATACATCCAATGCTTCCCACTGCTGAAGAGGCTCAAGTTCCGCTGGCTTGGCGCAAGGGGCCCATCGCCGCTGTCTCTATCGACAGAGCCATGTTTGACATCAAATAAGCAGAACCAATTCTCATCTGCACGACCAAAACGAGTCAAGCCACTTACCTTTCCGTCACTGCACACGCTGGAGATCGAGAATGTCCACGTTGACGCATCTCAGGTCTCGTACTTTATACGCAACCACCGTCATGTTCTGCGCGAGATCAACTTTGAATCCACAACACTACGCTCAGGGACGTGGGATAATGCTCTAGCACCGCTGGCCCCGTCACCTAAGAAGACAAAGGACTCACCACCAGCCCAGGCCCAGAAGAGAGCAGCGGCCCGGGAAGTTGAAGTGATGGACGTTCCTCTTGTCCTGAGCGCAGCAGGTATGGAAATCAAACAGCTACAACGGCTCGTTCTTGAAGAAGCCGGAAGACGCAAGAAAGGCGGTCGAAGCAAGACTAGCAGCAGCATCCGGCTGTGGGGAAGAGGCAAGGCCGTATCGACTGTTGGATCGGGATCTGCAGCCTCATCACGATCAAGGACTGGGGCTGGGTATGGTCAAGTTCAGCTGCAGAAGGCCACAGACCGAACAAGAGAGCTGCTATGGTGTGGACCGGAGCATATGAGACGCCTACTGAGGGCTTCTGTCTTGCGTGTCAGAGCCTTCTAAGGTCTACTTCTACTTTCTTTCTTTCTTTCCTTCTTTCTTTCTCTTCCCTCACTCTCTTTTATGACTTCTTTCATGTCTTATGCCTGTAACGACCACTCTTTACGACCTCTTACGTTTCTTATGTTGGTTAAATAACTTGTGGCTGTCGCATCATCCCGAGTGTCTGGGGAACCTCGGCTGTTTTTTTGGGGGCGGAAAACGGGAAAAGGGGGAAAATCTGGAGTATCAACGACAACGGCCAGGGCTGAGTTTCTTCTTATTCATGAGTACTCCGTATCTATGATTTGTGTTACTTTTATATTGTCTATATGCCTATCTTATTATTCGCCGTGAGAGCGTTATTCGTTCCTGTGTAGTCTTACGTATTGGTTCTTTGGTGTTGTCTGTAGTTTAATATTTAAGCCACGAACAAGCAACGAGTAGGAAATGAGCAGCCAACAAGTTGAATAAATAACCAGCTATTGAGAGTAAATAACTGATCGCAGTGATCAACATGCAGGTATCTCTCGTCTCATGTGTGTATCTTTCCTCGGCGAGAAGAAATGAACATGCGACAGGGAGACTGAAACCAGAGGCGGCAGCAGCAGCAGCAGAGAATCGGCTTTCACATGCACGCGATCTCCTCGGGCCTTTTTGCTGCTATGGGGGCCCCGTAACCAAATATAAGAAGATGCTTCCTCCGTCTTCTCTCCTCGCCTCCGTTCAACATCTTCCACAGCTCAAGCTCTCGATCATACAGACGCAGGACTCTCTCTTTATCTCCTCAAGCCGACTTCACTTACAACAACCGCCATCATGTCTCTCAAGAACGGTGAGTAGCGCTCGGGAAAAAAAGAAGAAGCTATCCGGCCGAAGAAGTGCCTGCTGACCTGGACTACCAGATGCCTTCCCAGCTTCCGCTGCCTTCGACCTGATTAACGACACGCTCAAGGGCAACCCCAAGGAGCGCGAGGAGGCCATCAAGGCAGCTAAGGGCATCTTTGCCTTCACTCTCACCAACGAGGCCGGCGCCACCGAGAGCTGGTACCTCGACTTCAAGGAGAAGGGCGTCGCCGGCAAGGGCGCTGCTCCAGAGGGCGGCAAGGCTGATGGTGAGCTGAGCTGACCTGACATGCCGGACAGGCTTTCCCTTCCCCAAGTCCAAGTGCTAACACAGCTGCAGTCACACTCGTCCTGTCCGAGAAGGACTTTGCAGGCCTCATCGCCGGTACCGCCAACGCCCAGCGTCTCTTCATGGGCGGCAAGCTCAAGATCCGCGGCAACGCCATGAAGGCCATGAAGATTGAGCCCATCCTCAACAAGGCCAAGGCCAACACCGGCGTCAAGGCCAAGTTGTAGATGACCTGCTTGTTTGCTTCTGCACCTTCTGCTTCTTTTTTCTTTTACGACGAACGATAAAATGGGCTATATAGCTTGAGGACCGAGGAAGATGATATACCCCAGGTAAACGCAGCAAGACTTCTTCCGAGCGGAGGGCTCATGCTGAAGAGGACCTGTTTTTCTATAGACGGCGGACTGTGATGTGCTGGCGGATATTATAGGCTGTATATATCCTCCTGAGCCGGGAGTTCTTCCTCTCTGTACATTATCATTATCAATATGATATCCATCTTAGACTTGTTTCTTCCTTTTGTCTCCTACCACCAGAGACACGTAAAACCTCTCTCTCTCTTTCTCCCTACTGTAGTATATAACACCTGACCATCGCCTTAATCGTCACCTTTATCCTCACCGTCGCCGTCACTATCTTTTTCATCCCTGGGATTTTTTTCACTCTCACGTGACCTGAATCAGAAAATCCTAAGGGCGAAAAAAAAACATCGAAAAATCGAGAAAAAATCGAAGATAAAAATAATCGAATCAACCAAAGAAGAAGACGAGGTCGCACCACAAATCAGACCAGACGAGAGACCCGCGACTGAGAGTGCAGGCTTGCTCTGGCCCAACCGTCTGCCCGTCTACCTTTCCTCGTTTCGAACGGCTTCTCCGTGACCTTGCAAGGCTTCAACGACCGAACCTGTAACTAATTAGATTCGCCTTATTTCCCTTAACTCCCGCTCCTGTCGCGTTTGCTGCCTCGATCTCGCCGTCATCGTTCTTCGAAAGCAAGCACCAAGTAACGATAGCGGTGGAATACAGTACGTCCCTCTGCTCTCGTTCCCGTCCGCGTCGCCGTCGATGCGTCGATTCCTCGTCCTGTCGCGGTTCGACCAGCTCGAAGCATCAACCAAAAAAGAAAAAGAAGTCACCTACTCACGCCCAGTACATAGTCGATTCTCCCTGTCCCGTTATTCCTCTTGCCTGTCCTCGCTCGCGTTGATCGTAGAGTGATATCAAGTCGTTGGCTGGGAGACACACATCCTGCGCCGGAAGACGTTGGGATAAACATACGGGCGCACATACCTATACCATACCCCTTCGCGGTGACGGTGGTTCATGACGGTGCTGTATTGAGAGAGCCCGCCGGTGAGAGAACTCGTCAGAGACTCCGTCCAGCTAGCTTGCTTGCTTGTTCCTCTTCGAGTCAATGAAACGAGTTGCAACGACGCAAGGGAGCGCGGACGCTGGTGGCTTCGAGCCAGAGATGTCTTCCAACGAAGCGCCCAAGCGGGCGACGGCCGCTCAGCTGGCCAACAGAAAGTAAGTAGAACGTATTTGCTGTCTTTTTAATTTTTAATTACGTTCCTGTTCTCTTTATATGACGTTTCTCCGCTTCTGTGGTGCGGGTGCTGCTGGTGGCTGGGTGAAGACTCTGCTGTCATTGATATCAATAACACATACTCGGCTTCAATATCAACAACACCCACCACACAATGAAGATGGAGAGACCCTACAAAACTTTGTTGTCTTCCGCCCTCTCTTTGAATACGCTGTCCTGTCCAGCCTCCTCGATGGAGACTCTGACTGTTCTCGTCCTGTGTTGCTGGCTGGTCTATATATTTTGCTTGCTTCATGCCCTTGACATCTACCAAAGGCCTGCCCATTCACCAGCTTCTAAACATCAGCTTCAAGCTCAAGTTTCAAGATCGCTCTGTTTCCGTCTTCTTTCACCAGTTGCCTTAGTCTTTTCTCCGTTGTCTTTCAGACCAGCAAAGTTAACATCACCTTAAAGAATCAAAGCTGCAAGAGAACGAAGAACTCGAGTCGGTTCCCCCAGTGTCGGCCTTCCACAACCATCTGCAAACCCTTTCAGCTCCGTCGGAACGGATACAGCTGCAGCAGCGCCTACATTCTCAGCTCCGTCAGGTGGATTTACTTTCGGACAGTCCCAGGGTTTTTCACGACCTGCTACAGCCACAGGCACCTCAAACAACGCACCCTCAGCGTCCTCTAGCTTTGAGAGCAACCAAGGCAACACTCCCGGAGCTTTCAAGCTCTTCGGCAACCAGACAGCTTCAGCTCCCCCTTCATTCGATTTCTCGTCTAACAACTCTCAGCAAGTAAGCAACCCGTTCAGCAACATGAACTCTAACCAGAACACCGGGTTCCAGGGCTTCAAGGGAAGCATGTTCAATATCCCTGGATCTTCCCAGCCTGAGAACAAGAAACCTGAAAACCAGCCAAATGGAAGCGGTGGGTTCTTCGGACAGGCTTCCACGCAGACCAGCGCTCCTCTGTTTGGAGCCACTCCAACCACGTCTGCACCTCTTTTCAGCTCGTCTGCCGGCCCAAACATGTTCGGACAGACCAACAACAATAACCCTCCTACCAATATCTTTGGCTCTGCTCCCATGACTAGTCCCACCAAGTCTACTGGCGGCTCAGAGGCTATGCAGATGTCCCCAGATGGTCCCAAGTCGACTGGTGGCCCTGGTATCTTCAATGTCTCTGCTCCCGCTCCCCGAATATATCAAACCAACCTTTTCCACCCCTTCGGTTGGATCCATCGTAAAGCTGGGAGGATCCACCGCGGCAACCTCCGGTGCTTCTCCAGGCATTCTCTGTCGAACGAACCATCTACTTGCCCCCTGCGTTAGCTGGAGTCTACAGGGGAGGTTGTATCTTTTTAGGATGTTTTTATCTGGGTGGAACCATATGGCTGCTCCCATTATTCGGTTTTGAAAATTTTTATTCCCTTGTGGCTTCGGCACCTACCCCCTTTGTCTTCTGATTTTGGTTGGGT